GTTATATTACAAATTTTATTATAATTATATCTATTAATATCATAGACAAATACATGCATATTGCATACCATCGAACGAGTTTTATACTAATAATGAAATTATTAGTTGAATAATATTAATCGTCTGCGTCTTCATATAACCTTCTTAAGAAATTTTCTACCCTTAAGGCCGCTGAGTTTTCTTCGTAAAATACTACGACTGCTTTTAGTATTTTCCAGTCCGTCGTGATGAGAGCCTACAATTGATATTTTTATTAAAATTTTTATCAAATTGTAGGTATATAATTTATACTACTATTTTTGGTTCCTTAAAGCAAATTGCTGGAACTTCCAGCGCCATAATGAGATATTCCATTATCATGGAATATTAAATGTTTTCAAATAGATTATTATAAATACAGTAATTTTCACTAATCGTTATAGACAAAATATATGGGCTTATAAATTGGACGATGACGTTTATATATGTTTACATGAAAAGTAAAAAATAAAACTTTATCAATCAGAGATAAAGAAAAACTTTCAAAGAATTATATAATATTTCAAAGAATTATATAAACTAAATTGCAAAGTAAAAATTATGCATTTGAAGTATATATGTGAGCTTTAAAATTTTAGCTAAAATTAAGGGGTTACACACACCACTATAGATTTTTTGGAAAACACATTTCTGGGTTTAAAATGTACTTTGAATCTTTAAAATATGAGGAAAAATATTTCATATCTAAAACTTTTTTTTTTACTTGTACATTATCTCAAATATATTAACAAAAAATATTATAAAGCAAAATGACAACATGTATCTGGAAACGGATTCGAGGACTTATAAAATGATTATATATATAGGCTACCTAAATATACTAACAAAGCATTTAAAATTTTAGGAAAAACAATTTAGGAAAAAAAAATTGGGAAAAAAATTTTAAGAAAAAAATTTTTTGGGGAAAAAATTGAGAAAAATTTTTGGGGGAAAACAATTTTGGAAAAAAATTTAGGAATTTTTTTTTCGACTTGTTTGATTTGAATGAAAAACCATGGATATAGTCCATGATTTTTAACAAGATTGAAGTGAGTGAAAAATGTGCATGTTTTGATGTTGGAAAAATTTTGGGAAGAAAATTGTGTAAAAAACATTTTTTGTAAAAAATTTTGAGGAAAAATTTTTTTTGGAAAAAAACTTTTGGCGAAAACATTTTGAAAAAAAAATTGGGAATAAAAATTTTGGCAAAAAAAATTTTTTTTGACATCTACATTTTCACTCAATTCAATCTTGTTAAAAACTCAAAAAAAAACATTAGAATTTTTTACAGTATATTTAAAATTACATTTTCAAGTGCCCAATCATAACGAATCTACTATATATGTTAATTTGTTCATCAATATTAACAAATTACTATTCGCATTTTTCGTTGAAATTTAACAATTTTGAATGAAGTGCTCGTTAAACAAACAAACATCAATATTTTGAAATCCGCTATGATGGGCACTTCAAAATACTATTTTAAATATATATTGAAAATTCGATTAAAAAAATTAAATTGTTATAGTTGACAAAATAGTGGTAACCCCCGTTTTTATTTTTTTTACAATTATGTTTTATTTTGTTACTTTACAAAATCAATACATTAATTAACTTCCGCATTTTTTCGTCCAATCAACCGATTTGAATGGTTGAAAAAAACATTCGATTCCTATTGATAGGGAGATGTGCTTATTAGTTTTTGGCAAAGGCAGGTCCAGCCGTTACGGAGATACGGAGCAAAGAGTGCAGAAATATATAAAGAGTGCCCGATATAAATGATCTAAAAAACTTTGCGCTTGAATTGACAAAACAATTGCTTTTGAGGATATAAAAATTACATTTTTTTTATTTTCCATAAAATATTTTTGTAATTTGGATTAAAAATTCAAAAAATCACCCAGGCTAAGCATAGTCTAAGGGCCACTCTGGTACAAATGTTTACCCAATTGGAGCACTTTTCCAATTTTGTGAAAACTATTGAAAAATGTGAAAATGCCGCCAAGCTAAGCACAGTATAAGTGAAAATGTCGCACGGAATTATTTGCAAATGCGTTTAGACTGTGACTATACGGGAGCACTTTTGCAATTTTGTGCAAATTAAGGCAACTATTTTTTTTTTAAATTGAATTCGAAATGAAATGACGATTGTCAATGTTCTGGAGATAATTGATTTATGATTTACATTTGATTTGCTCGGATATAACGAGATAGCAAAAATAATAAAAGTTACAGTATTTGTAATAATATATTTGAAAACGTTTAAAATTTCTCTAATATTTCAATACGGTACGGGAAGTACCTACCAGCATTTTGCCTTAAGGCACGATGCCATACACCCCACTAGTTTATGATTTATTTAAGTAAACCGGGTTGCTGTGGGGCGTTACATAATTCTTCCAAATCTGGTCTTAAACAATCAATGAACACAAAACTAGCAAGTCGGTGTTTTTCTAGTACATCCTTTTGCTTAGTACTCACTTTTTCCTCCACATGTGCAGGAACCAGTGCCGCAGAAACAGGCTGGACACAAAGATCCTGAATGGCTCGGACAAGCCGATCTCAGCCTCGATCTGCCTAAATCGTAATTACTATTGTTCGTACAAGTTGATCGATAGGCACGAGCGAAATCTGAACTTGGTCCTGAGGAAAGAGATGATTAAATAATTAATAGATATGATTAATAAAAAAAAATAGTTCCTCAAAAGGAGTTATACTTTTCAATGAAAATAGTTAAGGGTAGAGATTTTTAATCAATAGAAACTTTATTAGCAAATCACATTTAAGAGGCACACCTAGTGTGAATTTTCAAAAAATCGAATTTTGAATTTTTCCATATTTCGATAGGTAAATATGCAACGGAAGAGCGTTACGGCCGAGTCGAGTGCCAATGACTCGTCATTCGCTCTCGATGATATTTCTATACGTGTCGATTGTTATTAGTCGTCTTAGATTTATTTTTACTTAAATGCCATCTTGTATAGTAGCAAATAAGTTTTACTTCAATCGCGTGTGAACCTTACGCGCACTCTTTTTTTTGAAGCAGGCTACCCCCTTAAATTGCCGATTTGATTTATATTCTACTCTATCTATCTCTATCAGATCATTTTATCTTATGTATAAAGATGGAGTTCTCGATAAAATGATCCGATAAAACTCGAAAACGGCTAAACCGATTTGGCCAGTCTTGGTCTTAAAAAATTCGTGCTAATCAGTAGGTTGTCGGAAAGGTGAAATATTATTTTAAAATCGCGTAGAGACTTTACATTTTTAATTTGAAATTTTTTATAGAAGCGTATTTTAAATAAAACAATGGACGGTGGCTAATACGTCAAATGTCAAACGTTTTAAAGAGATGATGTTTAATAGGATGTTTTACGTGAATATTATTTAATTAATGATTAAATTGAAGTAAGTAGTTTTGCTTGTAGTTTTATTTATACACAAAAACGTTATATATAACGGGCCGCAAGTGTTACTAGAAACTCAAAATATTAACTTTTTTGAAATGTTAAAATGAAAATGCAGTTTTTGGCGTTGTAGCACTTTTTTTGCAAATCATATTTTTCTGAAATACGGTGCTCTGAAAGATCCCATTTGTATAATTATATATTCATTGGTATTTATAAAACATTTTACTAGGTTATATTATTTTTATTTACGTTATTTAAATTCAGAACCTTTTTTTTTTTTTTAATTTCAATTAGTTATTACAACTGTTAAAAGTCATTAACAAAAGTAATATTGAAAATAATTAAGTAAAAGATTAAATAACTAAACGAGCAAAGGATAAAAATTACATAAAAATAATAGCAGTAATATGATTTAATGTAAAATAAAGCAAATAATAATAAAAAATAAGATTAATAAATAATATAAATAAAATTTCAGATAATAAAATAATACTAGAAAAATAATAAAATATAAAACAAAATAACAATAATAGAAATAGTAAGGATAATAATAATAATAATAAATAATAATAATAATTAAATAATAATATGTAATAAAAATAATAATAATTAGCATAATAATAACAATAATAACAATAATAATAATAATAATTTACAAAATTTAAAGATCGTGGAATTTTTCATTTTTTCTTGTTGGGCGCGCTTCTGAGTATACTTTGTGGAAAGTAATTGGGGTTAATGTTTATTCTTTTTTTGTAGATATTGTTTTTTGTTTGAATCTCTTGTTGTATCTTGGTTTATATAGCAAAAAGGCGGCAGGGAGTATAATAAATAACATATATGTTTTCAAACTCACCATAATCTTCGTACTGTGTCCCGATGGTTGTTCGTTTTCATCGTCGTCCAGTTCGAATTCAATCTCGTCCCTTTGCTTCGCGCTCTGGCAGGCCGCGCAGGGCAACCCGCACAATTGACCGCACTGAACGACCCGGACGTTTTGACTGGGTCGACCCTTTCGAGTACCGAAGTCGTTCTCGACACCTAATAATGATTAGTAATGGTAATAAATATATCTAAAGCGGCACCCTGACCTGCAAGTGATTCTGTATACGAGGCGCCAAAAAAGCGATTTGTTGGAAGAAAAAATGAAAATATGAACATTTTGGTCTGTGAGCGATTCGACTTATCATATCCGAAGCCGGATCGGTTAGGATTGACCCGCTTCAGAGAGGAATTATATCCACTTAACAACTCTGACAACTCCGACAACTTTGAAACATAATACTTGACACAAATGTCTTCTCTAGTTACCCGTCTCTAATATGTATATATAAGCATGTGTGTGTGTCTATGTGAATTTCCATCTCTCACCTTTCAATACTCGTACTCCACATACAACTCTTCCAAAAGCAACTCGCCGTCCGTCGTACTCCGGCATGGCACGCAAAGTAATCAAATATTGGGACTCAGCTCGACCGTCCATGGATAAAATTCCTAAAATTAATTATAATATAAAAATTATTATTTTTAACGCATCATTATCACCATATCTCTATTATACCCAATCTATCATGGTTTATAATATGGTTTTCTGCATCCAAAACTAGAGATTTTTTCGTACCGATGCAGGTGGTTGTTGTAATTCCACCGTGTATGCAGTTGCCGGTAACGATTCTGAAAATAAAACTAGGTGTAAGGAAAGATAATCGAGAACAATAAAAATCAATGTTTATCACAAATTATTATCAAAACTAACAATCACCCTTTCCACTCAGTGATTTTTTATTTAATTTTAAAGAAACTATAGTTCACCTGTGTAATAATGTTCCTTCGTAGCACAGTCCGTTTTCGTGGGTTCCTTTACATATAGAAATAAAATGTTGACATGTTTTTGGGCAAATTTCATTGTATAACTCGAAAACCAACCTGCCCAGATTGACGCCGTTATCTAAGCCCAAATCGAAGTAACAACGACTGGAAGTAAATTAGATTATAAATAATATATGTGTAAAAATAATATATATTTAACTTCCCGTAAGGTAAGTTATAGTAATGAACCAAAAATCGAAATTGAAAATTTTTGCATTTCTCGACGTTTTGAAGGTTTCTGAACATTTGGGGGTAACTCAGCAAAAATGGATGGAGTCGTCAGTGTGTGTGTGTGTATGTATGTATGAATACAATGTTTGGGTCACGTTTTCGGGCGCACGGATCCGCCGATTTGAAAGGTTAAAAAAACATTCGATTCCTATTGATAGAGAGATGTGCTGATTAGTTTTTGGCAAAGGTAAGTCCAGCCGTTGCGGAGATACGGAGCAAAGAGTGCAAAAAATACAAATAGAGTTTTGAGAAAACGGAGTATCGGATTTGAATGATCAAAAAACCTTCAATTTGTAATGATTGGGATAAGAGGTGATTAGTTTTTGGCAAAGACAGGTCCCGCCATTTCGAAGATACAGAGCTAAATGTGCAAAAAATGGCAGTTTTTGAGTGAACTAAGCGTTCGATTTGAATGATCTAAAAAACTTTCTGCTTGTATTAACAAAACAATTGCTTTTGAGGATAAAAAATTATTACATCTTTTTTAATTTTCCATGAAATATTTTTGTAATTTTGGATTAAATATTCAAAAAATTGCCCAGGCTAAGCACAGTCTAAGCGCCACTCTGGTACAAATGTTTACCCAAGTGCGTTTAGACTGTTGCTATATGGAGCACTTTTTCAATTTTGTGTAAATTAGGCAACTATTTTTTTTTTGAAATTGAATTCGAAATGAAATGACGATTGTTAATGTTCTGGAGATAAATTGATTCATGATTTACATTTGATTTGCTCAGATATAACAAGATAGCAAAAATAATGTAGGTTACAGTATTTGTAATATTATATTTGAAAACGTTTAAAATTTCTCGAATATTTCATTACGGTACGGGATGTTCCAGCAATTTGCCTTAAGGCACGATGCCATGCACCACTAGTTTTTTGTATTAAATATCCTACAATTTTCAGGAAGTAGACTCAAAATATTTGACAAATAATCGCACCCAACCATACATACAACTTGATTTAGTTCAATTCGCCTCTTACCTAAAATTGTTACTATTAATTTTCATTTCCTTTTCCAGTTCAAAATGTAAAGGATATTTGGAAACCGCCTGCATTCGTGTCAGAGTCGTTTTCCACCACTGCTTAAGGTTTTTCGGTTCGATCGTCGGATCCGGCCCCTTTGTATTCAACACGACTATTATTTTTCAAATGTAATAACAGTAACAAAATTCACTTAATAGTAATTTACTCTTTCCATGATTCGTTTTCTGAGAGCCATATTCTGCTCTGTGATGTCTGCCAATTTGAATTTCTTGTTGGTCATTCTGGTTGGGGCTGTTGACGCGTTTTTGAAAAATTTTGCTACACTTGCCTGGGAAAAAGAAAAAGATTATTGAAGTAAAACTTCTTTAGGCGCGACTAGGGTGTAAATCTGTACAAATGCAACGGAAGTGCGTTACGGCAGATAAGATAAGATAAAAGTCGAGTGCCAATGATTCGTCATTCGCTCTCGATGATATCATTTCTATACGGGTCGATTGTGATTAGTCGTCGTGTATGTGAATAATGATCTGTCATTGTATGCGTACAGGCATCAACGTTATATGCGTACCGATATCAACAAGGAAATCGGCATAGATAAATAAACATTTTAAAGTTACATCGTAGTACAAATCTTGATTTAATGAAAAATGCCTGAATAAGAAGAGTATTTAACCCTGTTCCTTGAAAATAATAAAACAAATTAAGCATTTGTGCCGTGTACTAAACTTAAACTTAAGCTTATAGCCCGTAGGGCAAGTTATAGTAATCTCAAAAAAATCAAAAATGAAAATTTTTATATATATATACGTTTTAGAGGTTTCTGAACATTTTGGCATACCTTAGAAAAAATGGATGTATGTATGTATGTGTGTGTGTGTGCGCGTGTGTGTGTTTTCGGATACAAATTTTCGTCGCTTATGCGCTTTATATTCTATGCAGTTAAAGCAGTACGATCGCTTTGAAAAAAAGTTCAGATCTTCCAAAATATGTCAAAATAAAGAAAAAATTTGAACAAAAATAAATGTTTTTTCTTAAAAAAAATTTTTTTCAGAAAAAGTAATTTTTTGTCCGATTTAAAGTTTCTCAAAAATCTAATTTTTTCGAAGTAATTTTTTTTCAAAAATGTTATTCGTTTTTAAAAAAATAATAATTTTTGATACGGGAAGTTCCAGCAATTTGCCTTAAGGCTAGATGCCATGCGCCCCACTAGTTTCTATATTATTCATAGTTTCTTTAAATCTTTGAAGTTATTAAAATAAAAAATATTTTGTAGGCAAGACAGATATTACAGCTGTTCAAAGAATGAGATTATATCGCCAGCAAAAAAGTAAAAAAAAATACTATCAATCAATGAATGTATGTTAATTTTAATTACATGAAGTTCTTCAAACACAATCATTACATGATGAGTGAAGTTGCGAAAACAATATTTGTTTAGGCGTTGTTTAACATAATCCACTGTGTAAACAAATATTATAGAATTTATTAATCAGCAATTACTTCATTTCTCTAATAAAGGTTCTAGTCCTAAATGCTAATTACAATGACAAACCGATCATGTCATATTTGAAGTATGACTTTAATTACATTATTGTTTTTAAATATTATACACATTTTTAATGCTATTATAAATATATAATTTATAATTTATCATTATATAAATGTGTATAATGGTCGACACTAATAAATGTGTGCATAACGAGTGTTATCATATTACTAATAAACATTATTCAAAATCGTTATATGATGTTTTTATTTTTACTTAAGTAAATGCCATCTTGTACAGTAGCAAATAAGTTTTACTTCAATCGCGTGTGAACCTTACATGCACTCTTTTTTTGCTTATTTTGTAACATGTAACCCAGCATTAAAAGTGCAGCAAAAATTTAAACTCACTTCGCTTCTGTAGACATGATTGAGTTTCTTCATCAGCCTCTCGTTGCCTCTAATGATATCAGCCTTGTCCATTCTTTCCTTCCAAGAGTTCACTTTTGATAATTGTTTCTTCCCATGTCGTGATGAATAGGTGGTTTGTTATCGATGCGGCTTCTTGCATTTAATACCTGAAAAATAAGAGTAATAATTAGTAAGATCAAAGAACAAGTTTGTTGATTTTAATCCAATTTCGTATAACACGTTTACGTTCTACCTGATGTACCTACTGAGAATTTTGAAGCTTTCCTTAATCTACTAGAATCTTTTCAATGTTTCAATTTCAATTGCTCGACTAGTACCAAACTTTTAAACAAGGTGATATATCAAATATTACTATTATCAAACTTTGCTGAGATATTTGAAAAAAATATTTATAGAGAATTAATTCCTTCTGTTAAATCTTAAATTTCTACTAATCAACATGAATTCATGTCTGACCGTTCTACAATTACAATTTTATTTTTGTATTAAATAATACATAGCTGAGAATCTTGACACTAATGGACAAGTTGATGTTATTTACACTGACTTCAGTAAAGCTTTTGACAAAATTGATCATAACATTCTTTTTACTAAATTATCTAAGATTGGTCTTAATTCTTCACTTATTTATTTTTTCAAGAGTTATCTTCATAATCGTAAACAGTTTGTCTATCTTAATGGATTCTTGAGCAATATTGAAAATATCAGTTCAGGTGTTCCTCAAGGATCCATTCTTGGTCCACTACTATTTATTATTTTTATTAATGACATATCTAAAATTATTAGCTGTCCACATTTATTATTTGCAGATGATCTCAAACTATATCTCAAAATAAATTCTATTGATGACTGCTTATTATTACAATCTCAACTTGACTCTTTCCACTCTTGGTGTGTCTCTAACAAATTACATTTAAATATATCAAAGTGCAAGATTCTCAGTTTTTCACATAAGCGCGTTCCAATACATTTTGATTATAAAATCTCTAACACCAGCATTGATAGATGTAATAAAATATCATCCTTAGGAGTTTTATTCGATTCTGGTTTGTTTTTCACTGATCATATAACTGATAGAGCACATAAATCTGTAGGTTTCATACTGAGAAATTATAAAGAATTCAATTCAAATAATGCACGCACTTCTTTGCATGTACTATTCTAATGTATGTTCAAAATTAGAATATGGTTTGATCATTTGGTATCCTCATCAAATCAATAACTTTGATTCGATAGAGAAGGTTCAGCGAAAATTACTGAAATATCTTTATTATAAAACATATAAAATTTACCCCTTAAGAGGGTCTTCCTATGTGATGGGTTGAAAAAATCGATTTTTTTTTTCATAAATTGCTCCCTTAACACGTCTAGAATACGGTAGTATAGCGATTTTAAAAAAATTCGAAGTCGTTTTAAAGATACAGCAGGTAAAAGAAAAAGCGGTTCGGAGCGCTGAGTTGGCAGTTAGAAACTTTCAACGCGTTTTTCTCAAAACTGTGTTTTTCAAACTTTCCTCCATTGTATCTCAGAAACGGCTGGACCGAATTACTTAAAATTTACATGGCACACTCAATATATTTAAACGCATGGAATGAAAAACGCCTAATTTGCAACTTTTATTTCAAATGTCTATCAAAAATCTAATTTTTTTTATATTCATTTGATTATAGGTCATTCCGTGCTTTTAAGCCTACAAATTAAAATGCCGTTTTTTTTTTCAGATAAGCCGATCAGCCGGAATCGTGGAGGAAGTGGGAGCTCTTTTTTTCGAGGCGGGGGTGTTCAGAGCGCTGTAACTCTAGTTTGACTGAATATTTTTAGCTGAAATTTTATTATTTATACTGTCCAAATATGTGTTAATAAATGATAAAAAACTTGAAGCTCTGAATATTTACTGGTAGTAGAAAAAAAAATCCTAAAATATCCCTAAAAAACAGGCCGTCACATAGGAAGACCCCCTTAACACTTTACTGAAAGAATTTGGTATTCTTTTTCTTGCTCACGTCGATTTATCTGTACAATTATGTTCTTATTTAAACTTCGCAATAATTCTATAGACTGTCCGCTTATTCTTAACCAACTATCCTTTAATGTTCCAAGGCTATCTGCTTTACAATTATTTTTCTATTATCCTACTCCTAAATCTAATTCTCTCTTAAATTCGCCTATTTTACTTATGTCCTCTAACTTTAACTTAATTAATAATGAAATAAATATTCACAACACTTCACCTAATCAAATAATCTCCAAATGCACAAGTTTACCGTTTTATTTTCTTTTCAAATATCTCATTATTTTATATTATTCTGTTTATAAATAATATTGTTACATTCTGCATTATATGTAATTTTATGTTAAGCATTTTATGTTAATAACTATATATTGTAATTTTGTATACATTTTATTTGTAATTCATTATGTAAGTTAATTGTATTTTTGAGTGCTCTTGGAAAAATGTGTGGGCTATATATTTAAAAATAAATAAATAACTAAAGTTAACTCATCTGTTTTTCGACCTGTTTAAGATGATCGTTGTATCTGTATCCACTCTGGTCAATCTGCGGCATCCGCCTGCCGTCTGGTAGATATTTCATTTTCGACATCTGCCTGGACAGTTGTCTGGACAGCTGCCTGGAGCCCGATAGCTGTCTGGACGACGACAATTGCGAACGACGGGACGCCGACATTTGAGAACGCTTTGTGATAGTTGATAACTAGATGTAGATAGAAATTTATTCAAAAGTATAAAAAAAAAACAATAACTTGGTAAGTTGCATTTTGGCTTAAGGGCCACGTTCTGTCTTCCGGTAAAGAAACAATTGCTGACCTCTAATTCCAATATCCGATTTCCTATTATTTCCTCTTATTACCTGCGATCTTAGCGCCGTCGTGGTGCTGCTGCCCCCCAAGGATCTTTCCGACGCCACTGCGTCACTCATCTCCGAATCTGCCATTTTGTCAGCCAATCCTTCCGTCACCCTTTCAGCCTAAAATGACGTCAGTCGGCGGCTACATCCCGGACAGTCAATTTTTCGCAGAAATCAATTGCGAAATGTCACTTATCAATTTTGAAACTGTCAGAAAAACTAAATGACGGATTGTATGAAGTTCACTTGAAACTTGTTGATTGTAATTGAATCAGTCTTTGTCTTTATTCGTTTAGGGTTTTTTAGATTTTATATGTTTCTTGCAATGTTCTGGTTTTATTGCATTTTATCAAAAATGAAACAGGCAATTTTGAAAAATACTCACATGTTAAGATTTTACCCACCAGTTTTTCCTCTTACTAATTTCTGGAAAATATTTCATTTAGATATAGGCCAAGCAAAGAATCCAACTAGTGGAGTATGGCATCGTGCCTTAAGGCAAATTGCTGGAACTTCCCGTACCGTAATAAAATATTCGAGAAATGTAACTTTTATTATTTTTGCATTATCTTGTTATATCTGAGCATACCAAATTTAAATTATAAATAAATCAATTTATCTCCAGAAAATTAACAACAATTGTCATTTCATTTCGAATTCAATTAAAAAAAAAATAGTTGCCTAATTTACACAAAATTGAAAAAGTGCTCCCGTATAGTCACAGTCTAAACGCATTTCCAAATAATTCTATGCAACATTTTTACTTGTACTGTGCTTAGCTGGGCGGCATTTTCACATTTTTCAATAGTTTTCTCACAAAATTGGAAAAGTGCTCCAGTACTTAAACAGTCTAAACGCACTTGGGTAAACATTTGTACCAGAGTGGTGCTTAGACTGTGCTTAGCCTGGGTAATTTTTTGAATTTTTAATCCAAAATTACAAAAATATTTCATGGAAAATGAAAAAAGATTTAATAATTTTTTATCCCCAAAAGCAATTGTTTTGTCAATACAAGCAGAAAGTTTTTTAGATCATTCAAATCGGACGCTTAGTTCACTCAAAAACTGCCATTTTGCACATTTAGGTCTGTACCTCAAAATGGCGGGACCTGTCTTGCCAAAAACTAATCACCTCTTCTCCCAATCATTACAACTGAATGCTTTTTAGATCATTCAAATCCGATATTTCGTTCCTCTTAAAACTCGATTTGTATTTTCTGCACTCTTTGCTCCGTATATCCGTAACTGCTGGACCTGCCTTTACAAAAACTAATTAGCACATCTCCCTATCAATAGGAATCGAATGTCTTTTAACCATTCAAATCGGTTGATCCGTGCGCCCGAAAACGTGACCGTAAAATTGTATCCATACATACATACACACACACATCCATTTTTTCTGAGTATACCAAATTATTCAGAAACCTTCAAAACGTCGAGAAATGTAAAAAATTTCAATTTCGATTTTTGAACGATTACAATAACGTACTCTACGGGAAGTAATAAATAAAAAACCATTTTTAATGTATCAATAAAAATTTAAAATTTGTATTTGAGTCTAGATCGTCGATACCAGGATATTTGTTTATTTAATACAATAACTCTAAGTTTATATCTATTTTAATTGCACATTTTTCTTTTCCAAATAATTATTCAAGTGCTCTCAATCGAAAGACGTTTTAGCAAACAATAAAAGCAATAAAATGATTCTGATTTTATATATATACGTGAACGTGTGGCTTTGCACAGATTCCAAGTTTTTAAAAACAATAATTTATTGCAAAAATATTTATATTTATTACATTGTTATTTAATATAATAATAAGATGAAATACTTGTTATTGAATTTATTGATTGTTGGATATGCAAGATGCATTGTTGTGGGTAAGCTATATAAATAGACTATGGTTATGTGGCATTTTGTAAGGCAAATTACATAACAATTGAGATTTATATCTTCTTGTATATAAAAATGTAGCTCTCGATAAAATGATTCGGCAAAACTCGAAAACGGCTGAACCGATTTGGCCAGTCTTAGTCTTGAACCATTCGTCTAATCAGCAGATCGTCGGAAAAGTGAGATATTATTTCAAATCCGCGTAGAAACTTTACATTTTTAATTTGAACATTTTTATCAAAAGCGTAATTTAAACAAAAACAATGGACGGTGGCTAATACGTCAAAT